TTTTTTTTTTTTTTGTAAGAATATGTGCTTTTTTACTAATTGCAATGGTACTGTCATCTGAAGCCTACCTCTTCCTGGGACTGGTTAAATTGCTGCATCAGCTGTGTTTGTGCCAGCATTACTCTTTCCAGTTCATCTGACTTCTGTTTCATTTCCTTCCTCAGGTCTTCTGAAATGGAATCATTACTGTCTATTTCCTTCTTCAAGCGAGATTCAAATTCTGAAACCAAACTTTTGAGATGTTCAATCTCTTTTTCCTTTGATTCAGATTCTTGAGTATATCTAGTATGAGATTCATGGAGTTTTTCTTGTAGAGTAACTACTTCCAGCCTTAGATCTCTAGTAGCGCCTGCGATTAAGTCAGATATCTGCAAGAAAAATCTTGTATTAGTTTGTAGGTAATAGTATCCAGGTCCCCACAGTTCTATGGCTCTTAAAAGGTTTATTCTAAATAATCAGTGTACTAGTCTGATCAGATGAAATGGAATTCTATGATATATGTGGCTTCAAGATTCTTATTTTTGAAAGTTAAGAATAAAACTTATTTTTATCACTTACAAGTTTTTTTTTTTTTTTAATTTTTATTTTGATTTGGGTGAAACTTTACAGAGCAAATTCATTTTCCATACAGCAGTTCATACACATTTTGTCTCTTAGAAGTTTTTTTTTTATTTTTTTTAAAAAAACACCTTTTTAATTTTACCACCTAGAACAGCACTGCCTAATAGAACTTTTTACGATGATAGAAATGTTCTGTACTTGTCCAGGACAGTAGCCACTATGAGGCCCTGGAGTGCAGTGGTAGAATTCTCGCCTTCCATATAGGAGACCTAAGTTTGATTCCTGGGCAATAATCCCAAGCACAGCCACCGTTCATCTGTCAGTGAAGGCTTATGTGTTACTATGGTGCTGGCCAGGTTTCCTCTGAGGTTCCAAACTAAGGCAGACTAGAAAGAAGAGCCTGACAGTCTTCTTTCAAAACTCAATCAATGGAAAGCCTATGGCTCACCACAGTCCTTCACAATGTCTGATCTGCAACCAATCATGGGGATGGTGCAGGACCTGGCAGCATTTGTTATTTGTACATGAAGTTGTCATGAGCCAGGGGCTGACTCAACAGCAGCTAACAACAACAACAACAAGCCACATGTGACTACTGACAGTGGTTTGCTGGTAAATATTTAACTATTGGCTTTCAAAAACACTAAAAAGCCTGGATTTGTAGCATTGCTATAAATGCTCTCATCATGGTCAATTAGAAGCTACCAATGTGACATTACTGATAGCAGAGCTGAGAACAAATGCACACAATCAACTGCCACAAGCCAGTACTGGCTACTGAGTACCTGAAATGTAGTCACTGTGCCTGGAGAACTGAAAGTTTTATTTAATTTTATCTAATTAATTTAAATTTTAATAGCCACACTTGGTTAGTGGCTACAGTATTGGACAATGCAGTCCCAGAGAACACCAGAGTGTTCTGAAAATAAACTACTTCTTAAGGTAGTACCTGTGGAAAAGGGGATATAAGAATAACTTAGAGATGCTCTTTCTCACAGTCATGAAACTCTTCAGAAGGGAAAAGACTTATTTCTTTTCTCCTTAAAAAAAAAAAAAGAACAAAGACCAGAAAGCAAACCAGGAAAAGCAGAGCTGCTTCTGATGAAACATATCCTTATTTCTTCTTATGCCACAGATACCATCATATTACAAATATTAACACAAGAAACTAGCCCACGAAGAATCTGGAAAACATTCACAGACCAAAGTTCCAAGGACTTTGTGAACTAACATTTAAAAAGAATTATGTTTCCAAAATTTGTTTCAAATGTTAAATTTACATAAAGAACAACTTTTAAGAATAACCCAAACCAAAACCCACTACCGTCAAGTTGATTCTGACTCATAACAACCTTGTAGGACAGAGTAGAACTGCCCCATGGGGTTTCCAAGTCTAAATCTTCATGGAAGCATACTGCATCATCTCTCTCCTGTGGAGCAGCTGGTGAATTTGAACTTCAGCATTTTGGTTACTAGTTGAGTGCTTTAACCACTGTGCTATGAGGGTGCCTTTATTCACTACAGTTAGTTGTTTCATAAATTAATATTCCATTATTTTCAATTAATCCAGGAAGGAAGCTAGTCACTGTTAGGTCTCAACAGTGGTTTCCATCATCCAGAGGAGATCTGATACTGAAGTAGTCAATGTTATCCTTGGGAGAGGAGGCTCACGTAGCCACAAATATGTTTGGATTTTTTTTCAAAGGGAGTCAACATTTAAAAATCAGGAGCTTTCACTTGCATAGCATGGACTTCTGAGTTCTCTTGAGAAACTGTAACATCTGGCAAGTTGGGTCTATCTTTTAGTACCACAATAGTGTGGGTGGTGGGTCCTGATTGCCTCTTTAGCTGAGGGCTACTCCCTCAGTTATCGCTCCCCACCACTCACCTGCTGTTTGCCTATGCACCGAAACCCATCTGCCTGATCTGTCAGTGTTACCTCCCGATCTGTGGTGTAAAAAGTCCTCTCCATTGATGAAGACATTTTTTTAAAATGACTGATGAAATACAAGGAGCTTTGGTGGTGTAGCTCCTAGGATATTTGACTACTAACCAGAAGGTTGGTGGTTCAAAACCACCAGCCACTCCAAGGAAAGAAGACTGGGCCATCTACTTCTGTAAAGATTTACCACCTTGGAAACCCAAAGGGGGTTGCTATGAGTCAGTATTGACTCCATGGCAGTGAGTTTGGTTTAGGTTTTGGTGATGAAATACTAAAAAAGACTGGTGTTTCTCCAAGATTTGGAAGTAGATCCATGCTCAGTTGAAGCATTTATCCCCAGTTGTTGAAGATATTTTTGTATCTACTCTCAGACTGAGATGCTACATTTCATCTAAAAATAGTTTTACTTTCAATAATGGGTAGTGTGACTTCCCAGAAATGTATTTGGATTTTTAAAGAGTACTTTGGAATTCATTTAGATAAAATATTAATCACAAATTGTACAAGGAGGAGCTCCATTGTGTCCCCAGGTGAGAGCTTTCCCACTGCATCGTTATCTACAACGCTCACCATTGCGCCTTCACTTCCCTCTTTTCATTCCCTTTATCCAAGGTCTTTAAATGATGAACACTGCCATGTTTCATCATTTTAATTTCGAGACATCTTTAATGAGGCTTTGGCAATTTTTCCCTATTTCTTTAGTTTTTCATACCCATCAAGTTCCAAAATGAAACAAAATTACCTTAATGGCTGAGCTGCCAAGAGGGCACGAGCACTTGTGAAGTGAGGGGAGAAGGAGATGAGGGAGGTTGTGGGGCCTAGAACAGGGGAGGTAGTACTGTGTGTGAGCTGCGACTCCAAGCCTGGGCACATACTCTGTTGTCCTAATCAGACTCAGACTCACAAACCATAAATTCAAAGATAATATTATTAAGAATTTCCAGACAGAGTCTGCAGAGCATTAAAAACCCAAGTGTGAGGCTTGAGTGTGGAGCCTTGTGCTACTGCACTGGTCATATATGCCTGTGCTAAATAGGCTCTGCCTATTTTTCATTACTGCAATAGTGTGCCATAGCTCCTGTATGCCTACATAGAGGCCATTTAGGTCTCATCGGGTGCTTTTAAATTACATGGACTCTCAAATGGTTTCCATACTTAATGAGGTTATTTAAAACTAAGTTTTGGTTAAAAGGATTGAATAAGATGGGGGTGGGGAAGAAGGAAGGTGATGGGAAATAGCCAGGTTCCTTGGCTAGTAAAAAAAATAAAATTAATAGTCGGTGGTCTGACATTCAATCTAGAAAAGAGCATGTGACATACATAGAAAGCCAAAAAATATGTATATATTTTTTTCTTTTTTCCTATGCTACATATCTATAAAAACAGGGCAAAAAGGAAACCTTAAGAAAGTCTTAAATTATATTCAAGGTGCATTGTTTAAGAAATATGAGATGTCTGAATGCATTTGAAAAACATTTTCCTTCATTTAAAACTGTTCAGAATTTAAAATATTTGCGATTAAAGGGGATAAGCTTTAATTTTAATTGTGTAAGCACACCACATTATCTTTTGTTGTTGAATACTTGATAAGTTGCAATATCTAGCCACATTAGCCATTAGTTACATAATTTACATTATTGTTAAAATAAATTTATTTTTGTAGGAAAAAAAAAGATTGTACCCTTATGTAATTCAATGTAATTTATCTCAGTTATCCATTTTGGAGAACAGCCAAACTATTTTAATTTTGTGGCTAAAACCAAAGCACAGTGCCTATGAGGAAAGCTAGTAGAATTATAAATACTGTAGTGTTCTTAGGAGGAAATAATCAACATATTTACAGTGGTCTTAGCAGTTTCAAACCCACTAAATAATGATGACCATCCTAATGCAGACCTTCATTTGTAGTTCCTCTTGTTCTTTCTGATACTTCTGGATCATTTCTTGGTATTTTTCCTTTTCAATATCAAGTATCAGTTTAGCTTCTTCTTTAAAGAGAAGAGCTTGCTCCTCAAATTCAACTAAATGTTGGGCTCTTTGCTTGGTGAGTTCAGCTTCAATCTAGAAAACAGCATTAACACACATACAAAGCCATTTTTCCTCCAAGTAAGCACATTAATCTTATTTAGAGAATCTAATAAAACTGGGAGGGAGGAAAAAAAAACCTTCTGACTCAGACCTTGGGTCAGAAAAATTAGCCTTAAACCAAATATTCTAAGATTTTCTCAAAGACTAAAATAGGTAGGAAATTTAAGACATTTTATTATAACAGTTTTCAGAGAGGTTAAAAGATTAGTGTTCTGTACATTTACATTGTAAACTTAGTTCTTGCCAGCAACTCTGTAAGGAGAAAAAAAAAATAATAAAAGATAAAAACAATCTTGAGGCCCTTAGACTAAGTTCTGCTTAAAATTCAGAGGGGATATTGTGACAGTTAAGATGGGTGTCATCTTGGCTGGGCCATGATTCTAAGTGGTTTAGTAGCTATAATGTGGTTATACCCCCTGATGAAATCAGATATCATGTAACCACTTGCAGGATGAGATCTGCTATGAGCAGTCAATCAGTTGAAAGGGAGTTTCCTTCAGGGTGTGGCCTCCTTCTAGTATATATGGGAAAGCCCTCAAGCTTTCTGCTGGATTTGGATCCTGCATTTGGTTCATCATTTTCTTTGGTTCCTGGACTTGAACCAGAGGCATGCCGTATTACCTGCAGGTCTTGGGACTGTTGCCTTCGCAACCTAAGAGCCAGCAATCTGCCATTCTTCCTGCTGATATTGGGTTCATTAGCCTCTGCAGCTGCATGAGTTAGGAGAAGCCTCCAGCTTGATGTTTGATTTGGGACTTGGGACTTGCCATACTCTACAACTGTGTGAGCCATTCCTTTGAAATAAATTTCTCTATTACATATATATATATATATATATAGGCTCTGGTGGCATAGTGCCTAAGGCATTTGACTGCTAACCAGGATCAAACCCATCAGCCACTCCTCGGAAGGAAAGTTGGACACTCTACTTCCATAGTGATTGTTGTTGTTATGTGCCCTCGAGTCAGACCTGACTCATAGTGACCCCTCCTTGGGTTTCCAGGGCAGTATCATTACAAAAGTAGATTGCCCCATCTTCCTTCCAAGGAGTGGCTGGTGGGTTTGAACACCCCAGCCTTCTGGTTAGCAGTCAAATGCCTTAGGCACTATGCCACCAAAACTCCTATATATATAATGTTGTTGTTGTTGTGTGCCGTCCAGTCAGACCAACTCAGCGACCCTTCCTTGGGTTTCCGAGGTGGTATCACTACAGAAGTAGATTGCCCAACCTTCCTTCCAAGAAGTGGCAGTGGTTTGAACCGCCAGCTTTCTGGTTAGCAGTCAAGTGCCTGAGAGAAATTTATTTCAAGGGAATTTTATATATATAGGAGCTCTGGTAGCATAGTGGCTAAGGCACTTGACTGCTAACCAGAAGGCTGGAGGTTCAAACCCATCAGCCACTCCTCGGAAGGAAGATGGGGCAATCTACTTCCATAGCGATACTGCCTCGGAAACCCAAGGAGGGGTCACTATGAGTCGGGGCCGACTCGATGGCACATAACAACAACAACAACAACAACAGCAGCATATATATATATATAAGCTTCACTGTTTTTACTTCTCTAGAGGACACAACCTAAGGCCGTTACCATGTAGAAATGTTGATTTTTCCTATGGCATTTTGTTGGATAGAGGTCTTAGAAAATTTTGGATTCACAATCTGTTGTTTTAATGTGACAAATGCTAGAAGAATGATTAAAGGACAACAGTCTATGATGCTTGTATCCACATTCTGACTCAGACAGAATAACAGTTCTAGAAGAAGGGTTAAGAAATCCCCTAGTTCAATCTCTCAAGCTTCTGTGAATCCTAGAAACAGTAAATTAGGACTTGGATTCAGATGGAGCTGAGTTTAAATCTTGGCTCCAAATCCTGGCCCTGGCACTTTCTAACTGTGTGATCTTAAGTTTGTGAGTATAACCTCTCCTGGTCTCAGTAAAGTGAAGCTATAACTAATTCCATTAGAGGTCATTATGAAGATTAAATGAAATGAAACGTGTGTAAAGCTCCAGCAGGAATAGGAATTCAAGTCAGTGGAGATTATTTCTGTACTCTGATCTTCAGTTTTACCATGGAATCTGCATCATACATGTGTCTGCTCTGTGTCTCAACACTTCCAGAAACCGTAATTCATTCCTCCTTCCCCAGCAGGCATTTCCACTTTTCAGACAGCTCAAAGAAAGACTGTTTTTCCTCTTAGTTGAGCCAGCATCTCTCTCCCTGTGGTTTTCAACCATTAGTTTTGGCTCTGCCTACTGGAGCAATAGAGAGAACAACTCTACCAGGAATGGAGTCTTTCAGGCCTGGGAGTTTATCTAGTGACATTAGAGAAGGGGTTCCTAGCAATGGGCTGGCTCCAGATTTACACTACACCATGATTATAAATTCTAAGGAGTAAATGCAAGGTAAACTGGAGGAACACTATCAAACCTGACTGACTTTGACTGTGTGATTCAGGCTACTAAGAGGAGGAGAGGAGAGGTCAACTTGAATTTTTTCAAGGAAACACTGAACTCAGGATATAAGGACACAGAAAGTTTACTAAGACAGTACACAGGGAACCCTTTTAATCAAGTAAAATGAAGATACAAGACTCACTCCAGTGTGGGTTATATCCAGTTTACTGCACCAGATGTAGGACTAAGCATTTACCTCAAGGCAAAATAATTATGTTCATACTCAATGTAAGGAGCTGTCTTGGTTCTTTCAAAATAAATTTCTGGATTGTTTGGGGAAAGGCTAATGATGAGTCTTTTAGAAACATTATAGGATTGTCCAGATGTGCAGCCTTCCGCCTGCTAACGACTAGTAAAGCCTCTGGGGCACTGAGCTTAAAGAGCAGACTCTCTTGTGAATTCCAGATAGTTATATCCACTTGCCTCCCATATGTAGCAATTTAGAAATCTCATAAAAACCAAACCAAACTCATTGCTGTTGAGTCGATCCCAACTCACAGTGACCCCTCCTTGGGTTTCCCAGGTGGTGTCACTACAGAAGTAGATTGCCCAACCTTCCTTCCAAGGAGTGGCTCGTGGGTTTGAACTGCCAGCCTTCTGGTTAGCAGCCAATGCCTTTGGCACTACACCACCAGAGCTCCTGGAAATATCATAGGAGAATCAAATACATTGTTTGAACTGGAAATCTTGATATATTTCCCCATTCTCAATAGCCCACTCCTTCCCCAAACCTGTTGCTGTTGAGTCACTGTTGACTCATGGTGACCCCATGTGTGTCAGAGTAGAACTGCAATCCATAGGGCTTTTCAATGGCTGTGATCTTATGGAAGTAGACTGCCAGACCTTTCTTCCACAGCACTGATGGGTGTATTCGAACAGCCAACCTTTTGGTTAGTAGGTGAGTACAAACAGGGAACCTGTTCCTATCTAGTCCTCCCAATTTTAGGACATGGCGCCATCATCCATAGTTATTCTAGTTAGTAACTGATGAGTCATCTTTCACATCTCTTTCCTTTACTCTACACACTCAATCCAACACCAATTTCTGTTCATTTTACCTCCAGAATATACCTTGAATCCATTCATTTCCCTACATCTCCACTTCTACCACCCTAGTTCTGACCACTATTACCTCTTGACTAGTCTCCCTGCTCCCACTCCTATCGCACATAGCACAGTACTCTGTATAAAATAGAAATTGGATCCTTTTATTCTCTTTCAATGGTTTCTCAATGCATTATATAAAAATCAAAACTCATGTACATGATCTTCTACTAGGTCACATTTGTCTGAATGGACAAAGCACTTCTTCCTTACATAAACACATCTCATGCCTGGGTATAGGACTCGGTAAGCAGAACACTGGCTGGATTCCAGCTCCCTCCAACCCCATGGCCTGTGTTCTTGTGTAGGGTGCAACCTGAACACTCTACATGGGAGCCCAGGACCTCTCCATCTTGACTCCTGCCACTTTTCCTTTGACCACTGTGCTCCAGTCACACTGGAACAGAAAAGTCAGAAGCACATGAAAAAAGGAAATCAAATTCAAAATATTTGGGAAGTTGAAAGTTATGACTTTAAGAGTTAATAACCCAAAAGATAACTTGATACAATTTAAAAAACAAAAAAACAACTAAAAAATATTTATTGAAAAGCTCAAGAAAAATGTGTGCTGAGGTACTGAAAGACTTAAGTATTCAAAAAACCTTTGTGTTGGCTAATTGGCTCAAGTAGTTATTTTAGGACAAAAAGACATCTTTCAAAATAGGAACTGATGGATCAAATTAAGAAAATAAGAACATATACAAACAAAGTAGGACAGGATAAACTCTAAATTAGATGACAGAAGGGCTTCAGGAGGACCTTTTCAAGACAAGTTCTTTAAATTTATTATGGGGAAGAGGACATTTAGGAAAGCAGCAGGGTCTCTTGATGAAGATGAAATAAAGGAAGCATTCAGGGAGGAAAAGGGGATAGCTGACTGCCTTGAATGAGTAGAAGGATCTGAGTCAGGAAGCAAAGAGATCTTCTTAACCCTGGCCTGTCCCTTAAGATAAACTACTGTAGGTAAAAAGAAAAAAGAAAGGAAACAATGGTTGGAGGGAGGGAAAGGAAAAGCACTATAGATAAAAGGGAAAAGAGTGATTGACTGATTGGGTTTTTAAATTGCCACCCCGTGAAAGAGAATCAAAATGATGAGCTTCAGATGGGATTTCTAAACAGTTAGGGAAACTGCAATGGGACACCAAGCGCCAGTTGACTGTATGGATGCCGTAAAACAGAGATGAGACTACTGTTCCCTTCATGATCCGATTAGTTTGAACAAAATGATAAGCCTACCAACACAATGATTTGCTTAAGCCAGTATATTATTTGCTATTGAGAAGAAGAATTCATGCCAGATCGTCATGTTTATGTTTTCATATGCTGATAGGAGCTGCTAGCTTAAAATATCTTGGCTAGCTGGATTTAATGTTTATGCAAAATAAACAAATTTGATGATACTGTACATATAGA